CCCAGAGCTAATGGGGGCCAGAAGTGCTTTGATTTCCTACTGGCTAGACTGGAAAACCTCATAATAGAGTACTTAGAGCAACGTGACCTTGTAGAGGGACAATACCGTCTCCCACAAAAGGATGCTCCAGTCTCAAAAACAAGCGCAAAAACAAAGCGCAAAAACAAGCCTCAAAAGAATAAAACTGTTTCCAAGTAACTTATTTGCATTACAGAAGAAAGCTTAAATATAGGTGCTTGCTAATGATTTTCAGCCCTAGGCAAGTTCGCTATGAATGATAGTAGAAGGTTCTTGGGTCAAAAGGGTTCATTACCGGCTTGTTCTCCTGGCGGTAGATAGAACACTAGAGTTACATCTGCATCCAACAGTCCACAGGTCTGTAATCCTCCGTTGTCTCTACCTCCTCGCAGAGCACTGGGCCGAGCTCTTTATATAGTGACTCAGTCAATAATAGCTTATTGCCTACGGGTGTGGAAGCAGTAGCCTAGCAGCAGGCTAGTTACACCATCAAGTGGTTTAGGTTCAGTGAGGATCCTGGCCATAGGAACCCCAACTTTCCCCACAATAGGAATACAAAAACACCTAACACTTAACAAGGTAAAATGTCTGGCAACCATTTAAAAGCTAAGTAAAGAAACAGAAATATGATCCATTATGAGAAGAGAAAAAAATCAGTAAAATCAGACACAGAAATAACACAGATGATAGAATTAGTAGACAAGGACGTTAAAACAGTTATTATAATTGTATTCCATATGTTCAAAAAGGCAGGGGAAACATAAGCATGTCATAAAGAAACACGGGAACTACTTTTTAAAAGAAGTATCTCAAACTGCTAGTGATGAGAAAAAATTTCTGATATGAAAAACATACTGCATGGATTAACAGCAAATAAAAAGAAGAAAAGATGAGTGATTCTGAAGACATAGAAACTATCCAAAATGTAACACACTGATACAAAATGATTAAAATAAAAGAACAGGGTACCATTGAGCTGTGGGACAATTCCTGTCAGCTTAATATACAAATCAGGAATCCCCAAAGGCAAGGAAAGAGAGGGAAAGGCAGAGAAAGATTTTCAAGGAAATAATTTATAAAAAATTTCCAAAGTTGATGAAAACTATTAACTCAAGCAGCTCAGTGAACTCAAGAAATAAAGAAAACCAGATCAAATCATATCATAATCAATTTGCTTAAAAATCAGCAATAAAGAGAAAAATCTTTAAAGAAGATGGGGGCCAAAAGGATACATTACACACAGAAACAAAAATTAAAGTGGTAGCACATTTCTCATCCAGGAAAGAAATTCAAGGCAGACAACAGGGGAGCAATATCTTTAAATTACTGAAAGAAAAGAAGTGTCTACCTAGAATGCGAACTCAGCAAAAACATCTTTCAAAAACGAAGGCAAAGTAAAGACTTTTCAGATACATAAAATAATTTGTCACTAGTAGGCATGTACTACAAGAAATATAAAAGTTCTTTGATCAAAAGAAAAAATGATACCAGCTAGAAGTCTGCATCAACATAAAGGGATGGGACATTGGAAACGGTTACAATGTGAGTAAACACAAAAGCCTTTTAAAAATTCTGATTAAAATTTACTTTGAAGATAAATGACTGCTTAGAGAAAACACAATCTCAACATATTTTGAGTTAATGTCAAAATAAAATGTATGATGACAGTAGCACAAAGCTCTGCCCACACTGGGGAGGGAAATGTGCTTTACTCAGTCACTAGTTCACATGTGAATCTCCTCCAGAAACACCCTCACAGACATACCCAGAATAATTGTGACCAAATGTATGGGCACCTCATGGCCCTGTTGACACATAAATTAACCATCCCAATATAATAGTAATAATAATGCCATGATAATTCTGGACAGCCTCTAAAGGCTGAGACTGATCTGAGAGGCGTAGTAGAACCAAAACTTTCTCTGCAGTGGACCTTGGGCACGGATCTGACTTCTGGCCCCCAGAAGCCACTCACAGAGGAATGCTGTCCAGTCTGGGCCCACCCATGCCAGACCCTCCTGATGACAAAGGAAGAGCTGCGGCA